GACAGGCAGATAGATAGAAAGACGGAGCGAGTGCGTGAGAGAGAGAGAGAGAGAGAGAGAGAGAGAGAGAGAGAGAGAGAGAGAGAGAGAGAGAGAGAGAGAGAGAGAGAGAGAGAGAGAGAGAGAGAGAGAGAGAGACGAATATACAGACAAACAAACAGATAGACATACGAACAGATTGACAGACAGAGAGAGAGACACGTCCTTTCACATCATCTTGTATTCTGTCATTTCCCTTCTTCCTCTTTCGTCAAGCATCGTCAAGCCTGAGTTTTCCTTCTATGACAAATCGTCTTATTCTCAGGGTATGCTTCGCACCTGTTGTTTCTTCTCTTTCTTTCCCTTTCTGAGTTTCTTTCTCTTTCTTTCTGTCTGTCTGTCTCTCTCTCTCTCTCTCTCTCTCTCTCTCTCTCTCTCTCTCTCTCTCTCTCTCTCTCTCTCCTCTCTCTCTCTCTCTCTCTCTCTCTCCCCCTCCCTCCCTCCCTCCCTCTCTCTCTCTCTCTCTCTCTCTCTCTCTCTCTCTCTCTCTCTCTCTCTCTCTCTCTCTCTCTCTCTCTCTCTCTCGCTCGCTCGCTCTCTTCCTTCCTTTCCCCTCCCCTTCCTTCCTCTCTCCCTCTCTTTATCTTTCTGTTTCTCGGTTGCCTTCCCTTCGCATAGCTTTTTCTTTGACTATTTTCCTCTCCTTATCGCTCTCCTCGCTTCCCTCTTCTTCTTCTTCCTTCTCTCATCCTCTCTTTCCCTCTCCTCCTTCCTCCCCTCCCTTCCCCTCTCCCCCTCTCTTCCTCCCTCCCCTCCCGCCCCTCTTTCCATCTCCCTCTCTCCTCCTCTCTTCCTCCCTCCCTCTCCCCCTCCCCCCCTCCTTCTTCCCCCCTCCCCTCCCGCTCCTCTTTCCCTCTCCCTCTCTCCTCCTCTCTTCCTCCCTCTCTCCCTCCCTCCTCTCTTCCTCCCTCCCCTCCCGCTCCTCCTTCCCTCTCCACTCTCTCCTCCTCTCTTCCTCCTTTCCCTCTTCCCCTCTTCCTCTCTCCTCCTCTCTTCCTCCCTCCCTCCCGCTCCTCTTTCCCTCTCCCTCTCTCCTCCTCTCTTCCTCCTCCCCTCCCGCTCCTCTTTCCCTCTCCCTCTCTCCTCCTCTCTTCCTCCCTCCTTCTCTTTTCCTCGCCCTCTCCCTCTCTCCTCCTCTCTTCCTCCTCCCTCTCCCCCTCTCCCCCTCTCTTCCTCCCTCCCCTCCCGCTCCTCTTTCCCTCTCCCCCTCTCCCCCTCTCTTCCTCCCTCCCTTCTCCCCCTCTCCCCCTCTCTTCCTCCTCCCCTCCCGCTCCTCTTTCCCTCTCCCTCTCTCCTCCTCTCTTCCTCCCTCTCTCCCTCTCTTCCTCCCTCATTCTCTTTTCCTCGCCTCTCCCTCTCCTCTCCCTCTCTTCCTCCCTCCCCTCCCGTATCCTCCTGTCCCCTCCCTCTCTCCTCCTCTCTTCCTCCTTTCCTCTTTCCCTTTCCCTCTCCCTCCCTCTTCCTCCCTCCCCTCCCGCTCCCTTTCCCTTCCCTCTCTCCTCCTCTCTTCCTCCCTTTCCCCTCTTTCCCTCTCCCCCTCTCTTCCTCCCTCCTTCTCTTTTCCTCGCCCTCTCCCTCTCTCCTCCTCTCTTCCTCCCTCCCTCTCCCCCTCTCCCCCTCTCTTCCTCCCTCCCCTCCCGCTCCTTTTTCCCTCTCCCTCTCTCCTCCTCTCTTTCTCCCTCTCTCCCTCTCTTCCTCCCTCCCTCTCTTTTCCTCGCCCTCTGCACCTTCGTCAAGCATAGATTCTGCCGTAATTCCATCTGGCCGGGGCCCGCGGACACCGAGGGCCGCTTTGATATGATGCTAACTCGATTGATCTTCTTAATCATGAGTCTCGACAGTCAAGGCGTTCTTCCTGTGATTCCTTCTTCCTCTTGCTCTTTTTTTTCTCTCTCTCTTCCTCTCTCTTCTTCTTCCTTTCCTCCTTCTCCTTCTTTTTCTTCTAATTCTCTCTCTCTTCTTCCCTTCCTCCTTCTCCTTCATTTTCTTCTAATTCTCTCTCTCTTCTTCCTTTCCTCCTTGTCCTTCTTTTTCTTCTAATTCTCTCTCTCTTCTTCCTTTCCTCCTTCTCCTTCTTTTTCTTCTAATTCTCTCTCTCTTCTTCTCCTCCCTCTCCTCCTCTCTTTTCCCCTCCATCCCCTCCTCCTTCTTTTCTTCTCCGTCCCTCTCTTCTCCCTTTCCACATTCTTCTCTTCCTCATTTTCCTTCTTCTTCTCCTTTTTCCTCTCCTCCCCTCTCTTCTCCTCCATCTCTTTCTTTCCTCCTCTTCCTTCATCTTCTTTCCCTCCCCTTATTTTCCCCTCTCTCCTTCCTCCTCTCGTCTTCCCTTCCTCCTTTCCTCCTTCTACTCTTCCTCTCTTACTCTTTCACTCATCCTCCCTCCTCTCTTTCCTCTTCTCTCTTCCTCTCCTTCTATCCTATATTTTCCCTTATCTTATAACCTGAATCATAATAGTAACTG